TATATTCTTATATAAAGGCTAATAATAATGACCTTAAAATGGTGTTTAAAAAATTAAAAACTGCTTTCATTCCAGCCGAAATAAAACAAACCAGGCTTTCTCCAAAAGAAAAAACATGATAGGAAATACTGTGAAACATTCCCTGTTCTCCCTGCTGAAAAATCCAGCTTAAACTAGCCTAGGCTGATTGACTGGTTTTAGCTGGTCGACCAGGCTGGTTTTAGAGGGGTTTTGGCCATTTCCAGGCTGGTTTCCAGCCATTGAAAATGACCAGCCAAATCTAGCTAAAACCAGCTTGACCAGCCTGGTTTAAGCTGGATATAGCTGGTTTTGGCTGGACTCCCAGCTTGGCTAGGCTGGTCTAGCTGGTTTTAGCTGGTCATCTCCCAGCCTGACCAGCTAAAACCAGGCTGGAAATGGCAGGAAACCAGTCTGGAAGTGGCCAAAACCCCTCTAAAACCAGCCTGGTCGACCTGCTAAAACAAGCCAACCAGCTTAGGCTGGTTTAAGCTGGATTTTTCAGCAGGGCTGTTAAACATAATTTAGGAAACATTTGAAAAAGAATTAAAAATCTATTTTTAACTGTACATTATTGATGAGAGTAAACTAACACTATTGATAATGAGTTGATATTAGACTTGTTTCCATTATTAATGTATGTTTGATGTGTTTTTGTAGGAATGCTGAACAAATGCAGTCTTGGATCACACGAATCAACACAGTGGCAGCTATGTTTTCAGCCCCGCCCCTCCCTGCTGCCATTGGCTCACAGAAGAAATTCAGTCGACCGCTGCTGCCAGGCTCCGCCTCCAAACTATCACAGGTCAAAAGAGCACACTGAAAATCATTGACATGTACATTTTGCATATCTAAGACAAACCTTATATTATTTCATTTATTCATTTATTTTACTTTCCAAGTCACCACAGTGGAATGAACCACCAAGTATGGCATATTTTTTACACAGTGGATGCCCTTCCAGCCACAACCCAGTACTGGAAAACATACAGAGTGTTCAGATGCAAACGCCGCTAAACGCCACTTCCGCCAGAAATGAGCTAATGACATTGAGTGAATGCTTTAGGCTACACCATCAACAAATAGTTTTGCTTCTAATCATCTAAATCCCAGCGTCAAGCATTCAGAAATAGCAGATTGTTGGCAAAAGCCTCTAAACGCCACTTGCCTTTGGCGGCAAAAGCCGCTATATCCCGAGAACCAATCAGAAGGCGCGAATCAAATCACGTTTTCAATGTGTCAGCACGCTGATACGCCGGCTTTTATGAGGAGAGCGTTTTATTCCGGTACCGATTTCGATATAAAAGACGGAGTTTGATTAACTGGATTGGCCTGTCCAACTGTCATTAAATGGCAAATAAAAGCCCCTTACCTCAAAACTCTGTGCATTATAAGAAAAAGAAAGCACACTTTGCAGTCGGAAGTGTAGCATGCATTCATAATGTTTTTATTTTGCACAGTGACGCTACTCTGAATGAGTCCGATTTACTATATGTTAAAGGGCAACTCCATTTCACGTTAAGATGCCGTTCTTAAGGATAAACAAGAGACCTAGACCTTAAGTATGGTGAGAATGAATGAATGACAGCCTCTAAAACTGTCTGTGCGGCATTCCCTTTTGCCCAGTTGGCCTACCTTGTGTTTTAGGCCGCATTTACACTGCACAGTTCAAGTGACTCTATTCCGATTTTTTTTTTCTCCAGTCATGTGGCACAGATCAGACATGGCCCATGTATATGTAAGCATGAACAAATCACATGGATTCCGATTTACTCAAATCAGATTCAGGCCTTGTTCATATGTGGAAATTTATCCACTATGAATCGGATCTGTGTTCTCGTGTCTGCAGTGTAAGCAGGTAGATCAGATTTTCACCTGTCAATGTGAGTGGCACGTCATTTAAAAACTGTAGCGAATTGCATCAAGTTTGACACTTTCTTTTCAGAACAGACTTCAGCAGAGTCCCAAACCTTAAATCTCATACACGAGGACTTAAACAGCTTTTATGTTGTCATATAGCACAGGTATTTAATCATGTTAATGAGAGCGAGAGTGAGCAATGTCCACCACGTAACCAATATAAACTAATATAAATCTAGTGCATACATAAATCACACCATGGACATTAAATTAAGATGCCTAAAGGTTTAAAAAAGTCTATATATCAAAAGAAGATGGACAAATGAGAACATTTCTGTCATAAACTACAGTAAAACAGCTTGTCAAAAGCTGCGAACAGATTACATACAGGAATAGAGAAAAGAGCACTCTTTAATTATCAGCTGTTAGTCAGCACCTGCACTGTTTTTTCCTCATTGCGTCTTTGCCGTGTGCTGTGTAAATGCAGGCGATCAAATACGAGTCACTTTTAAAAGATGATGTAAGCAGGTCATCAAAAAAGTCGGATACAGTCACAAAATCGGAATATTAATATATTAATATATAAAAAATATTAATATATTAATATAATGTATAAAACTATACATTATTTATACTTCACAATACCTGCACGCCTGTTGAGCTTTTTATATTAATGGACAGTGCACAGATATTGATGTTTCACAATGTTTTACACTACATTATTTGAGTCTACCAGGCTTAGTTTACAATGTTTACATTGCTCTACTTACATTAAATCTAAATCCTAAATATCAGAAATGACAACAGATTGTTCCGATTTAATTAATGCCAGTTTTAATGTTATTGATTAATACAGCGGTTCTCAAACATTTTTCATCAAGTAGTACCACCTCAGAAAAATCGTCTCTCCAAGTACCATCATAATGAGCAGTATTGAAATACAGTAGCGTAGTAGGCACGGTAAAGCAGCTACAACTCTGCACAGTTCAAAAATGTGGCAGATTCATTTCTATTATTTAGAGTATTTATTAATGTCAGCCGTTATACATTATAAATAGTTTGAACATTAACACTGTACTGTGCTTATAGGTAAAACAAACAAACAAACTAAAAACTTCAATATTTAAAATTAAAAAGTGCTTTTAAAAGTAAAAAATGGCAGATTACGGTTCTTAAAAAGTAAAAAAAAAAGCTGCTGTACTTAAATCTAAAGTATTAACATATAGTAATGAATTTATCAAAACCTGGGGATTTTGCTTGGACCTCATAAATATAGGCTATATGTCATCACATTGATATATAAATCATTTTTGATCATTTTAAAAAATATATTTAGCATAATTTAAATAAATGTGACATATTTGATTCCTCCGCGTACCACTAGAAAGCCCGAGTACCACTAGTGGTACACGTACCACAGTTTGAGAACCACTGGATTAATACACTTACTTTACAGATTTTAATTCATTTATTTCCTTCTGCTTCTTGCCTGGTTTATCACAGCGGAATGAACCGCCACTTACTTGACAGATTTATATATTTTTAATTTCAGGCGGTTTGTTCAATTCAATTCAATTCAGCTTTATTTGTATAGCGCTTTTACAATGTAGATTGTGTCAAAGCAGCTTCACATAAATGGTCATAGTAACTGGAACAGGGTAGTTCAGTTTTTAGTGTTTAAGTTCAGTTCAGTTCAGTTTAGCTCAGTTCAGTGTGATTTAATCATTACTGAGAGGTTTGTGTAATATGTTTTATGTTTGGTAAAATAATCTCTAATTGCGTCTTCAGTGATTTTCAGCTAATTACTCATTGCTCAATTACTAATTAATTACCCAATGGGTGGATTTAGAGGGTTTTGCAAAAAAAAAAAAAAAAAAGCAGACGTGGATTTAGCGGGTTTTAACACGAAAGAAAATGTATCTTGTTAAAAACCAAAGAATTGTCTTAAGTGACAATTAACTAAAAAATGTATTTTATTTACCAGCTAATAACTTTATTACATATAAAATGAAACTTCTGAACGTAATCAGAGGAGCCTGATAGAAAATGCTCATTTACAAGAAAAGAGGTCTGATGGGTTTAGAGAGTTTTGCATATGAACACTTTGTATATTATTTTTCAAAAACATAAAGATTAATGAAACCGTTTTGAATAATAGTCATATTTATTTTAAGTTAGCTATAAAAAGAATGCTTGTATGTGTATTTAGGGACGTTTTGTTTTGAAAATATTAACTTGACGACTCCCAGTATACTTATTTTAGACTGTCTCTGATTCCAGAATCATTTATTCAGCATCAGTTGTCATGAAATCTTTATATAACTTAAGTTAAAAGGAAATTAATAATAATTTTTAATTAATAAAATGATTAATTCATGTAAAGTTAGGTCTAATTGTATTTTTTTTTGTGCATTTACGCTGCTAAGTTAACATTTGCATTCAAACAATTCCATTTTGTTTGTAATTTCACTCATAAATAATAATTTTGTGTCGCTAATTTCTGGTCAACTCTATTACATAGTTATAAAAAGGCAAAAAAAATATGTAAAGCACCGATTAAAAACACATTTAACTTGATCCTAGTGATGTCTCTCCTCTGCTGGGAAACTCATTATTCTTCTCTCATTCATTTATGCAAAATAATTAGGATACACCAATAATTTCAACACTGTTACTATGATATTTCAGTCAATTTCTCATTCATTTTATAATAATTTCAATATGATGAAAATGCATACGTTTCAGTTTTGTATACCATGTGGTGTCTAGTTTAAGGTTAGCATCCTGAGCTAAAGTACAAAATGGATGAAAATGTCAACTCTGTCAACTTTTTTTGTGGTTTAAAAAGTTTAACCATAAGCTATTTTCCATGAATAATAACATCACTTTACTATAAATTGTGCATTTATTTGTACATCATCAAAGAAAATGCATGGGAAATGCTTGAAATGTGCCATCAGTTCAGGCATGAGTCCTATAATATGGAAACTCAAACTGTTTTCTTACTAACAGCACTCAAAATAACTTGTTTTATCTTGGCAGAAGCCCATGTAGTTCACTGTGTTTTGGAACTGATGCTTCTGCATGTATTTGTGTACAGTATGTGTTTATAGACTGTAGTAAACAGATTTGTGTGTGTGTGTGTGCAGGAGGAGCAGGTACAGGCTCATGAAACTCGATTTCGCTCCATCTCCACTGAACTCGCACAACTGCGCTCTTATCCTCCTGACCGAAAGGTGAAAGGACGTGAACTGGAGGAGTACAGACTGAGAGAGGAGTATCTGGAGTTTGAGGTAAAACTGTAGCGCTAGTGTACTTTAAAGGCACCCATTATGCAAAAAGAAATTTTATAAGGGGTTTAAACACAGATGGGTGGCAGCAGTGTGTGAATATATCCAGCTTGTAATTGTCAAGATTTATTAATTTCATTGTTTATAATCAGACTTGATAAAATCAGCCTGCTGAAGCAACATCAGAGGGGAAAGCCCCGCCCACTAGTGACTGTCTCTCCCTCATTAGCATAGGACGATAGTCTTGTTTCTTTATTCTACACCTATGCTGACACATGCACACATCTGTGGCTCCGCCTTTTTATGAAAAGAGCACAATCTCATTTGAATTTAAAGCGACAGTCACCAAATTCGGCACAATTTAGATCAAAGACTAAAAGGGTTAGTTTCAGAGAGTTAGGAAACATTATTTGTGTGGTATTTTGAGCTGAAACTTCACACACACACACACACACACACACACACACTCTATGGACAGCAGAGTCTTATTTTACATTTTGTAAAAAGGAAATAATATGTTCCCTTTTTACACGAGGACTTAAACAGCTTTTATATTGTCATATAGCACAGGTATTTAAGCATGTTAACGAGAGCGAGAGAACGCAATGTCCACCACGTAACCAATCTAAACTAATATAAATCTAGTGCATACGTCACGTGCATAAATCACGCCATGGACATTACATTAAGATGCCTAAAGGTTTAAAAAAGCCTATATGTCAAAAGAAGATGGACAAATGAGAACATTTCTGTCATAAACTACAGTAAAACAGCTTGTCAAAAGCTGCAAACAGATTACATACAGGAATAGAGAAAAGAGCACTCTTTAATTTGTGGCTCCGCCTTCTTATGAAAAGAGCACAATCTCATTTGAATTTAAAGCGACAGTCGCCAAACTCGGCACAATTTAGATCAAAATCTAAAAGGGTCAGTTTCAGAGAGTTAGGAAACATTGTTTGTGTGGTATTTTGAGCTGAAACTTCACACACACACACACACACACACACACACACACACACACACACACACTCTATGGACAGCAGAGTCTTATTTTACATTTTGTAAAAAGGGAATAATATGTTCCCTTTTTACACGAGGACTTAAACAGCTTTTGTATTGTCATATAGTACAGGTATTTAAGCATGTTAACGAGAGCGAGAGAATGCAATGTCCACCACGTAACCGATATAAACTAATATAAATCTAGTGCATACGTCACGTGCATAAATCAAGCCATGGACATTACATTAAGATGCCTAAAGGTTTAAAAAAGCCTATATGTCAAACGAAGATGGACAAATGAGAACATTTCTGTCATAAACTACAGTAAAACAGCTTGTCAAAAGCTGCAAACAGATTACATACAGGAATAGAGAAAAGAGCACTCTTTAATTTGTGGCTCCGCCTTCTTATGAAAAGAGCACAATCTCATTTGAATTTAAAGCGACAGTCATCAAATTCGGGGTCAGTTTCAGAGAGTTAGGAAACATTATTTGTGTGGTATTTTGAGCTGAAACTTCACACACACACACACACACACACACACACACACACACACACACACACACACACACACACACACACACACACACCCACACACACACACTCTAGGGACATCAGAGTCTTATTTTACATTTTGTAAAAAGGGAATAATATGTTGCCTTTAATTAAAAACCTTAATATCTTACTAACATACTACTGTCACTATTTTGCAGTTTATAGTATGCATACTGGGTAACACTTTAAAATAACTATCCGTTATGACTAGTTAATAGACCATTAATAAACTGTTAGTTAACAAGTTATAAATGACTTGTTAAATAAAAGTTAATAGTTTGTTAATTATTTATAACTGTGCCTTATAGATGGCTAATAGATAACTTACTAGCTGTTAGTTAACAAGTTGTAAATGACTTCTTATCTGTGTTTTAATTATTTATAACTATACTTATAAATTAGTTATAGATCATGAACAAGCGGTTAGTAAATAACTTAATAAAGACTTGTTAAGTATCAGTTGATAGTGCATATATGATATTGGGACGTTATTCTAAAGTTGCAGCTGTTTTTAATTTATTAACAGTTAGTAAATGAGGAATAGTTGCAACTTTAGAATAACGTCCCAATAACATGCTTAAGGTAATAACTAACGCTTAACTGATATATTTACTCACACTTTACAGATGCTATGTGACATAGTGTACTGTACCATACTAGCCTAACAGTTTTTACTATTTTGAAGTTTGTAGTGGCCAATTCAATAGCCCTGCCTTAGATATTATAGCATACTATCATAATATTTTATTTTTGAATTTTGTTGTAGGCATACTTAGAAAAGTTTGCATACTTCAGTTCACAGTGAAAAAAGCTACTTTGAGTAACATATACTGCAGAAAGCACATTTTTAGTATGCATACTTTCCATTCTTATCATGAACAATGCTAGTTTGAGTAACATAATTCAGAACTACCGTACTAACATCGCACCATACTTGCATACTATGTTTACTATTTTTGAAGTTTGTAGTATACAAACTTAGAAAAGTAAGCTTTTCATACATGCATACTACAGTATACCATGCTGCTTTGAGTAACATTCACAACTGAGCTCTTGTAGAAAACATGCTATGTGACATAAGCTGCGTCCCAAATGGCACACTATACACTATGCACTCATGCACTATGTACTTATGCACTTACACACTCAACAGGATAGTATATGTATGTAGCGGCGTCCCAAATGGCACACTAATGTTTTTTTACCAAGCGGAAATTCAAAACGTTTCCCTGATGACGTTTGACGGTTGCCAAATAAATGAAATAAACGACCAAATTATCAAATAATACCTGCCGTGAGTATTGCCGCATTAACCATCGGGAGGCGCTATAATCGCTCTCGTAGGAGAACTTTGCTTTTACCATCCAAAATAAATAAACTTTTTCAACATGTGCGTCCGATAGCTCCACCCCTTCCGCTACGTAAGCAAATCTGTGGTCGTTGAGTGCGTGAAGTGTCCATCATTACACACTTCATTTTAGCGGCTGAATGAGTGCATCATCCGGGTAATTAAAGTGCACTTATTATTTTGAGAGTTTTCAGTGTGAACACACTACTTACACTATTTATACTACAAAATGGCGTAAAATAGAGCATAAGTATGCGATTTGGGACGCAGCTATAGTGTACTGTACCATACTAGCCTAACATTTTTACTATTTTGAAGTTTGTAGTAGCCAATTCAATAGCCCTGCCTTAGATATTATACCATACTATCATACTATTTTATTTTTGAACTTTGTAGTTGGCATACTTAGAAAAGTTTGCATACTTCAGTTCACAGTGAAACAAGCTACTTTGATTAACATATACTGCAGAAAGCACATTTTTAGTATGCATACTTTCCATTCCTATCATGAACAATGCTAGTTTGAGTAACATAATTCAGAACTACCGTACTAACATCGCACCATACTTGCATACTATGTTTACTATTTTTGAAGTTTGTAGTATGCAAACTTAGAAAAGTAAGCTTTTCATACATGCATACTACAGTATACCATGCTACTGAGTAACATTCATAATTGAGCTCTTGCTGTCTTGTAGAAAACATGCTATGTGATATAGTGTACTGTACCATACTAGCCTAACAGTTTTAATATTTTGAAGTTTGTTGTAGCCAATTCAATAGTCCTGCCTTAGATATTTTACCATGCTATCATACTATTTTATTTTTGAACTTTGTAGTAGGCATACTTAGAAAAGTTTGCATACTTCAGTTTACAGTGAAACAAGCTCCTTTGAGTAACATATCCATAATAAACCTCTCTCTCTTCTAGAAAACACGCTATGAGACGTACAGCATGCTCCTGCGGGCGAAGCAGCGCTGCGGAGACGACGATCTCTCAGTGTTTGAGGCCATGCTCCTGGAGGAAGGAGCTTTACAGAGAGCTCAGTCCAGCCCCACGCTCCAGGACAGCAGTCTGACCTGCAGCACCAGAGACGGGGCGAGTCCCAGCACCACCACCGCAGCCCCTCCAGAACCCTCCGGAAACGGCAACAACGGCTGCTCACGCGGCCAAGGACAGAGACACAGCTACCGGCAGGCCGTCCGCAAGTGAAGCCACCGCCGCCGCCATCCACAGGAAGCCTGCTGTTCTGGAGAGGAAGTGAGGTCATTCTCTTTCCTGTTGCACGCCATCAGGAAGTGCCCACCGAATCTGACTCTGCGATTGGCTGATGGGTCACAACACAAGGTGCTATGGGAGCCGGATGGGAGAACGTGATTAGAGGGAAATATAAGAAACGCGTGCCACTCTTCCTTTGCCTTCTCGGTTTCTTCTGCGACTTGAAGCCATTACTTCAGTACATCTTAAAAATAGGAAGGTTATTCTGTTTTGCATCCCCAGAAATAACTCGTTTGTTTACAGTTCTGCATATCCCTGCGATGTTCGGGGCGATGAAACATACGCTGTGTTTGTCAAATGGGTGTCTCCTTTGGTGTGGTGTTTGGGATTGAGCAGAAAACTGACTAGCCCGTATGCAACTAGTTATTTCTTTACTTGTATAATAATGCACAGGGACATCACAGTCACTAAATACACATTTCAGTCCATCAATTTCGCCCTCGAAAGGTCGTTTGCACTGAACACCGAGTATTACTACACTTTCCTGATCAGCATTTTTGTCCTTTTTTCATGATAGAAATATTTAAACATCTTTAAGATGAGATCTGTTAAGCTGACACATAAGTTCTGTACGTTATATCCTGAATTAGTTAATTTATTTTGGCTTTTCTTATGTTTAATGAAAGCACAAACCTTTCTTTGTTCGATATATACTCAAGTTTTTGGCTTGAAGTTGATTTTTTGTTTCTAGATGTATGCTGGAATGCAGAAATAAATGCTAATTATAAACAAAAATGACATTCAATTCAAGATATATTCAACATGCTTCGTTTTTTCTTACTATATAGATTTGTTTAAGCATGAATCAAGTTGATTTTTTTGGTAACACTTTATAATAACTACACACTATAAATCATTTATTAAGCATTAGCAAATAGTGAGTTCATTATCTGTTAAGCATTAACTCTACATTAATAGACGTTAGTAAGCAGTTTATAACTGCAGCTGCAAATGCTGTATTCTTGACTTATTAGCACCTGTATATTGTGTTTAATATTTGGGTAAAACTTTACAATAAGGTTCATTAGTTAATGCATTTACTAACATGAACTAATCATAACCAACACATGTACAGCATTTGTTAATCATAATTGAACATTTACTAATGCATTATTAACATCCAAGTGCATGCTTGTTAACATTAGTTAATGCACCATGAGTTAACATGAGCTAACAAAGAACTACTGTATTTTCATTAACTAATGTTAACTAACATGAACAAAAACAGTAGTAAATGTATTGCTCATTGTTTGTTCATGTTAGTAAATGCATTAATTACCATTAACTAATGAACCTTATTGTAAAGTGTGACCAATATTTGTACTTTCATACTTGGTTAATGGTTTATTTTTTATTAGTAAATTAAGTATCGCATTATTTACAAACCATTTGTATTTAAGAGTAGTTGAGGGATTTTAGGATCATTCAGAATGAGTTCGTAAATGATTAATAAACTATTGTAATCAACATTTATATATCTTATTAATCAGGCATATAGTAATGGTTACAATGTATGTTAGTAAATGCTTTATTAACTCAACTTCATGCAGTTTTGTGACCTAATCTAAAGTGAGGACTATTTGTGCTTTATAAATCCCTTATAAATGACAATTAAAGGCTCGGTTAAATTCTAAACAGGAAAAATGACGTTATTCATTTAAAGATACACACATGAAACTGTACTTCAAATAAAAAATAAATCTTTGCAACCTTACCTAAAATTGCATCTTACTGTATTGTTACATTATTATATTGTTGTTGTTGTTTTATCCAGTTTTATGTCGTATTTGACACTCCTGTTATTCAGCAATGTTTAAACTTTTAACTTTACTTTTTAAATAAGATCGCAAGGATTGTTGTTCATTTGATTCTGAGCCTTTATTTGTCATTTATAAGGGATTTATAAAGCATACATAGTCCTCACTTTAGATTAGGTCACAAAACTGCATGAAGTTGAGTTAATAAAGCATTTATTAACATATTAGTGAACTATTAGTATATGCCTGAATAATAAGACATATAAAAATTGATTTCAATAGTTATTAGTTATTAATCATTTATGAACTCATTCTGAATAATCCTAAAACCCCTCAACTACTCTTAAATACAAACGGTTTGTAAATAATGCAATACTTAATTTAGTAATGAAATATAAATCATTAACAAAGTATGAAATTACAATTATTAAGCACAATATATAGGTGCTAATAAGTCAAGAATAGAGCATTTGTAGCTGCTGTTATAAACTGCTTACTAACATTTATTAATGCGGAGTTAATGCCTTACAGATAATGAACTCACTAGATGCTAATGCTTAGTAAATGATTCATAACGTGTAGTTATTATAAAGTGTTACCTTTATAACAACTACACACTATTAAACATTTATTTATAAGCATTAGCAAATTGTGAATTCATCATCTGTTAAGCATGAACTCTACATTAATAGACGTTAGTAAGCAGTTTATAACAGCAGCTACACATGCTGTATTCTTGACTTATAAGAAGATTTTTAATGTGCTTAATAATTGTGTTTTTATACTTTGCTAATCATTTATTTTTCATTACTACATTAAGCATTGCATTATTTACAAACCAGTGATTTAAAAGTGGTTGGTGTTTTTTAAAGATCATTCAGAATGAGTTTGTAAATGATTAATAAACTATTGAAATCAATGTTTATATATCTTATTAATCAGGCATATAGTAATGGTTACAATGTATGTTAGTAAATGCTTTATTAACTCAACTTCATGCAGTTATGTGACCTAATCTGAAGTGAGGACTATTTGTGCTTTATAAATTCCTTATAAATGACAAATAAAGGCTCAGTTAAATTCTAAACAGGAAAAATGACGTTATTCATTTAAAGATACACACATGAAACTGTACTTCAAATAAAAAATTAATCTTTGCAACCTTACCTAAAATAGAATCACTATAGAGTTTAAACATTGCATCTTACTGTATTGTTACATTATTATATTGTTGTTGTTGTTTTATCCAATTTTATGTCGTAATTTGACACTCCTGTTATTTAGCAATGTTTAAACTTTTAATTTTACTTTTTAAATTGCTAATCATTTACTTTTCATTACTACATTAAGCATTGCATTATTTACAAACCAGTGATTTAAAAGTGGTTGGTGTTTTTTAAAGATCATTTAGAATGAGTTAGTAAATGATTGATAAACTATTCAAATTAACATTCATATATCTTATTATTCAGGCATACAGTAATAGTGGATTTGTATGATAGTAAATGCTTTAATAACTCAACTTCATCCAGTTTTCAGACCTAATCTAAAGTGAAGACTATTCATGCTTTATAAATCCCTTATAAATGAGTTTTAAAGGCACAGTTAGTCTAAACAGGAAAAGAGAACATAAAGACTTTATTCATTTCCATTCATTTGAAGATAAACTAACGAAACTGGATCAGATGAACAATAAATCTTATCTTATCTAAAATAAAATGACTGTACAGTTTAAACTGCAAAATAGCGTTGACATGTTGTATGATAATATATTGTTAAATTAATATATTGTTGTTGTTTCATTCCATGTTCACCGTAATTTTGTGTTTCGATAGGATTGCAAAGAGTATTTTTCATTTAATACTGAACCTTTATTGTAATTTATAAGGGATTTACAAAGCATAAATAGTCCTCACTTTAGATTAGGTCACAAAACTGCATGAAGTTGAGTTAATTAATCGCTTACTAACTCAATCTAAATGATTCTAAGCCAACTACTCTTAAATACAAATGATTTGTAAATAATGCAATACTGAATTCAGTAATGAACAATTAATTAATAATAAAGTATGAAAACACAATCATTAAGCACACTATACATGTTCTTAAAAGTCAAAAATATAGCATGTGTAGCCGTATTTATAAACTGCTAACTAACATTTGTTATTGTTAATGCTTGATAGTAAATTCACTATTTCAGATAGGGAATTCACTATTTATGAATGCTTATTAGATGGTTCATAGAGTGTAGTTATTATAAAGTGTTACCAAAAATGGCATTTATTCTAGATAAATTATGTGAAGACAAACCACAATGTGCAAAGGTACAATTATAGGATGCTTAGATGTCAAATGAAAATTCACACGAGATAAAAAAGCTGATTTTATACAGTACACACTCTCAGAAAGAAAGGTACACGAGCTGTCACTGGAGCAGAACCTTTTTAAAAGATACATGTTTGTACCCAAATAGTCCACAGTGGTACCTAAAAGGTGCATATTCGTACCCAAATGTACCTAAAAAGTACCTCTGAGGTACCATTATTGACCCTTTA